AAGAAGAAGAAGAAAATCTTAAGTGATTCTTTAAAAAAAAAAATTAAAGTTGATTTTCTTTGGGTTAGAGCTAGAGAGAAGGCCCCAAGCTTCTGCGGTTTCTTCTAATTCTTATTGCTTAAATTATGAGTATGTCACTTACCCATGCTTCTATTTACTGTGTATTAAAATGGGTACTCAGTACTTAACTACCTCACGGATGGGTTAAGGCATATTGAGTTAAATCTCATAAAAGGTTTCTCAATCTCACTAAAAGCTCAAGATTTTGGGCCTATTTACAGTGTGACACTCAGCATTTTGTTCCCACCACACTTTGATAACTAAACTGAAAAAAAATTAAGTACCTCTGTTCTAGATCTGGGCAGGCAGCACTCTTTCAGATCTTTGTGTGGCTCCTATTTTCATAGAAGGGAATGGATGCACTATTTCACAAGGTCCAAGAATTTTTTTCGGATATTTTTGTTTATTGTATTGTAGTAAATACTATACGGATCGCACTACAGTATTGTAGTCATGAGACTAAAGTGGAAATAAGACTATTTTTGACAAAAGATGCTATTAAATTTCAGACTATATGGCCACATTTATGATACCTCAGGCTAATTACTGTTAATTTGGGGATTGAACTTTTTTTTGACAACGAGGGTGGACTATTGGATTGTTATTAGAGAAAGGTTTAGATTTCTTACTCTTAATAAAATTACATTGAATTGAGGTGATAAAAACTTCCTATTTGAGAAGTGAGTGTTAAAGTCTTACAATGCGAGCACATTGTAGTGCTACCCATTCCTCTCCTGAGATTTCAACTTACTACTGAAAATCCTTAACCAATTATAACAGCTTTTTTCTCTTTATTTTTAAAATGATTTCCTTTGCTGTGATTAGACATTCTGTGTTTATCTTTTTTTTTTTGTAACCAAAGTTTATTTAATGCAGCTTTTTCTGAACTTTAAAGAAAGAATCCTATTTTTAATGAACTGAAGTAGCACAGTCTTACCGTCTCGCTTTGTCGCCAGGCTGGAGTGCAGTGGCGTGATCTTGGCTCACTGCAACCTCTGCCTCCCAGATTCAAGCTATTCTCCTGCCTCAGCCTCCCAAGCAGCTTGGATTACAGACACGCGCCACCACGACCAGCTAATTTTTGTATTTCAGTAGAGACGGGGTTTCTCTATGTTGGCCAGGATGGTCTCAATCTCTTGACCTCGTGATCCGCCCACCCTGGCCTCCCGAAGTGCTGGGATTACAGGTGTGAGCCACCGCGCCTGGCCCATCTTTTTTATTCTTTTAGGAAACAGCTATTGCCAAAATGAAGGTGTAGATACTACCTAGTCTTGTTATACAATGGTGATGTGGTTTGCAGAAGAATTTTCTTTATAAAATTGAAGTTTCAAGGGATACCAGTGTTTATGCCATTTTTCCAGTTCCAAAATGATTCCATTCTATTCTAGAAATTTGAAGTATGTAACTTAAAATCCTCAATAAAAATCTGGATTTAATTTAAAAAAAAGAGAGAGAAAGAGAGAGAGATGGTGTCTCAATATGTTGCCCAGGCTGGCGCCATTCAAACTACTCCTGGGCTCAAGGGATTCTCTTACCTCAGCCTCCCAGGTAACTGGGACTACAGGGGCACACCACCACATAATGTTGTTTTTATGTTTTATCTTTACTTATCTGCATTTTATAATTTTTTAAAAACAATTATACTGTATTAAAGAAACAAACACTTTAAGAGCTAAATTAAGAAATATTTTAAATACTTATTAAAATAGGGGCTGGGCGCGGTGGCTCAAGCCTGTAATCCCAGCACTTTGGGAGGCCAAGGCGGGTGGATCACAAGGTCAAGAGATCGAGACCATCCTGGTCAACATGGTGAAACCCCGTCTCTACTAAA